CCTAATAGCTCCAAATAGCGTTGCCATTTAAATAATTGTTTGCTAGCTTTTGTATAATCGTAGCTATACCAGTTATTATTTTATTTGCATAAAAATTAGGTATTTCTACTTCTGGTATCTCATTTTGTTTTTCTATCTCTTCTGGAATATTCATATCTTTTGTTAATCCTATCTTTACCACCTGTATTGGTGATTTTATCTCTTCGTATAATATCTCTGCTGGTGCTGTATAACATTTTATATAGAATAAATTTCCTTTGGTAATTCTTTTATATGTCAGAAATGCTCTATGTAATTCTGGTATTTCGACTATCTCTTCTCCGGTATATGTGTATACTGTATTTAGTAATCCGTAGTTATAACATGTTTTTACTAGGTTGGGGTTGGTCTTAGGTTGTGCAATAAGTTTGTTATATCCTTGTAGTTTCTGGGTTATATAATCTTCTTCGGGATTTTTTGTTTGTGTAGATCTTGGGTTTAGGTTAAGGTATGTTTGGATTTTGTATATGTTTTCAATGTAAGATTGGGTAATATAGTTATATCTTTTTTTGTCATTTTGTAGGCTTACTGCATAGGTTGATGTTTGTGGTTCTGCTGGTATTTGCATTTGTGGTTTTTGGGTAAATGGTTTTGCAAATAACTGGTTTAAGTTTGTGTTCTTTGGTTTTTCACTAGTTCTTTTACTTGTACCTGCAGTTATATCTGAAAAAACATTATTATGGGTTTTCTGGAGTTTCCCAACTTCTCCTTCTAGCTCTCGCTGTTTTTCGTCTGCCGAACGACGTAGCTCCGCATGCTTATAGTTATGCTGCTGACTTGTAGATTCTACATTTTCTTCTAGCTTTTGAATTCTCAAGCCCATACTATCCACTTTTGTACAAAGTGTAGTTAGGGTTTTGAGTATGTTTTCCATAAGATTATCCTTTCCTGGCTGTGTAACTCTGTCTTGATAAGTAGTCTGCAATCATGTTTTTGTCAGTTTTTATTACCTCAATGGTAAATGTAAAATTTAATATATTCAATACCAATCTCCTTATTTCCTTTGTTGTAACTGAATCATCTAACTTTTTTGTTATCCACCATTTTACTTGTGTGTTATCTGTTCTTACAATAAATTTATTGTAAACAATATATGGTTCAAATGCTAATAAACATTTATATAATGCGAATAATTCTTTTCTATATATTTCCCATTTTATTTGTGCTTCTGTATAAGATCCTGAATAATATCTACAATGGTGTTCTATTTTTTCTTTTTCATATTTGTATTTTAAAACACCTCCGTAACTATGATCACTCGAATCTGTTTCAATAATATAAGTAAATGTTTTATTTTCATCGGGAAAATATAGTTTTGGTAATTTTTTACATAATTTTTTAATAATTTTTATGTGTTCTTTATCTTTGTTGTCAAAATGATATTCAACATCTTTTTTGAGTTTTTTGTATAATGGTTTTAAATGTTCTGCTAATTTTGGTATATATTCCCTTACTTGATTTACTAATCCTAAGAATGATTGTAATTTGTTTTTTGTATCTATATTTTCATCAATAGTAATTATTTTTTGTACTATATGAGTCTGCATTTTTATTCCATTTTTATCTATTTGTATTCCTAGAAATTCTACCTGTGGTTTCATAATCTCTGCTTCACTTTTACTTAAACTTATACCTGAGTGTTAAATTATTGTATAAATTTTTCTAATAATCTTATATGTTCATCTTGTGTTTTAGAATATAATAATATATCATCTATATATATAACACAATTTTCTAGCTGGTTAAAACAATTATCCATAAAATGTCGATATCGACCTAGTGCATTTTTATATCCAAAAGGTAAAACATTCCATTCATAGAAACCTTGAGGTACTGTGAATGCTGTTAATTGTTTAGATTCTTCTTCTAATTTTAGGTGGTAAAATCTTGATTTACAGTCAAATTTGCTAAAATAATTATATCCTTGTATTTGTCTTATTTTTAGTATTTTGTTTGGTATCGGATAATTGTATCATTTAGTTTTAGCATTTAGATTACGATAATCTATGACCATTCTACTTTTACCTCTTTTTTGTGCACTATGTTTTATAACAATAAATGCTGGACTTGTGTGTTTACTATTGCTTTTTTGTAGTAATTATTTTCTAATAATTCATCTTTATGTATTTTAAATTCCTTTAAATCATCAAAGTTATATTTTAATGGTTTTTGTGTTATTATGCTATTTTCATCTATTAATTCTATTTTTACTTTTGTCTTATGTTTTTCACATCCTTGTAATGGATTTTCGCTATATAATTGTTCTTGTTGTTCATTAATTATTTTAATTTTGTCTATAGCAAATATAGTAATTTCTAATTGTGTTATTTGTTTATTATTTATATTTTTCATTTTTTGGTTTATTTTTTCACTTCCTTTTATCCATTCCATAGGCTTTCGTTGTTTATTATTTACTCTTTTTGCTCCTATTTTGTTTCAGCATGGTGTGGTAAACCACCAATCTGTTTTTGTTATTATGTGTGGATAAAATCTATCTAGAAATGGCATTCCTAATAACATATCTTTTTTGGTGAATTCAAAATTATACATTTCTTCTATTGTTAGTA